GTAGTTTATAGACGTCACTGTGTTCATACTGGTGGAGTCTAAAGCCACTAATTAGTCCTATGCCCCATTCTACTCCAGAGTGGGGAAGCAGCTCACCCGAGGGCTGTGTCTGGGTCTCTCTGTCCAGTGGAACGATGGGGGGTGAGGTCTGGAGGCCAGCCTTGAACCAGATCAGCAGGAACATCCGCAGTACAGCCCTGAGTGGGGGAATATGGCTGGGTTAGGGGGAGATGGCTAGCTGGCAGGTGCCATGCTTGGCAGTATCTGTAAAGCTGGCTTGTGTCACCCCCACCCTGGTCCTGCCCTCCACAGTCCCAACGTACTTGGCCAGCTGGATAAGGGCGATGACAAGCCAGCGGCCCACTTCTCCCCACACCTTGGCGGCCCCCATCTCCATGAACACCTCCACACACTCCAGCACGCTCAGCCATGTCAGCAGCTTCTGCTGGGACAGCGACTGCAAGAACCCCAAGCCAAGAGGTCAGGAGGCTCCCCCTGGGCCCTGGCCCTCCTTATGGGGCAGGGGGATGGGAGTCCTCTAACAAGAGATATGGATTCTCCACTTTCCAAGCCTAAGTGTGCAGGCCTGAGTTCAAACACCGACTCCACCACCAACAGGCTGGATAACCTGGGATAGTTGACTCCACCTCTCTGAAGCTCAGTTTCTTCAACTGAGGAAAGGTCACTAACACTTTTACACCTCGTCTAATGAGACGGTTTGAGGCTCAGATGGGCAAAGGCATGCCTCACACTCTATGAGACCACAACATGTGCTGCACACATGGGCTGGTTGTTGCTATTTTATTTCTGAGTCCCTGTGCTTCCCGCCCTCAGTTCCTGGAAGAATTCTCACCACGGGCAACTTTTTCCGAAGCTCCTTCCGTAGGATCCCGTCATTGAGCAGGACGAGCAGGTTAGAGGCGGAGTACACTGAGGGGTAGAGGGTGGCCTTGAGAGGCTGGCTCTGCAGCCTCCACCCCTCTCACCTTTTCCCCAGAGCTGCAGGATCACCTGTCACTTGCCGTGCTCAGACACCCACAGATTATGTGGAAACCAATCTGCCTCTCTGCCCACTTCCTTGGCGTTCCACACTCCCCAATTTGATCTTGCATGAGCGGTTGGACCAAGATAGGATGGGTTGAGCTCAGTGACAAACCAGCTACTGCCCTACAGGATAGCACTGACCACCCAGCTGCCTATAACTACCCACTGCACTCCAAACAGCTACAGATGTGTGGTCCCACTTCCTGGCCTTTGCCCATTCTGCAGCCTGTCCCTGGGAGTCTACTCCATCTCTACCTTTCCAAACCCAGCTCATCCTTTCAGGACTGTCACCTCCAGTACTCAGTGGGCAAATGCTCCTGAGACAGTTACAGCCTGGAAATCCTGGAATCTGGGAGATTGGGATTTGAATCTTAGTTCTGGGATTATCAGCAACTGTTCCCTAACCTCACTGTATTTCTGTTTCCTTAACTGGACAGCAAGGACGATAACAGTACCCACCTCATTTGAATGTAGGGAAGATTAATTGGCAAAGGCAGGAAAGGCGCTTGGCTCTGCGCCTGACCAGTGGTGAACACTCAGTCAAGATCCCCAGACATGTCTCTTAACTTGGGGACATGGAGGGCCCAGGACAGGGGACAACAGACACCCACCCCAGAGCCCAGCTCACCCAGCTCTGACAGCTCGTGGGAATCCGCGAATCGACCTGGAGAGAAGGTACAGAAGGTGTCGGTGAGCGTTTGCCTAACCCTTCATCTCCGGGTCCCCGACGTCTCCTCCCTACTCCCTACGGGAACCTGGACGGGACTTCTCAAGCACAGCGATCACTACCCTGATTCCGCAGGGAAGGGGGCCACTGGGGTCATAGGTCAGGGCCCCCAAGGGATGGATCAAAGGTCAGGGTGGCACCTGCCAGCAGGTAACTGAGGCCCCGCACTGCTGTCTCCAGCTGGGCCGTGGCGGCCGGGTGACGAGTCACGTACTCCTGG